GTGAAGCTGCTACCCTACCAGTCAAATTTGGCGCCACTCAATCGGTGCTGGAGATGGACTGTGCAGTGAGCTGGAGCGATATTTTCTCGCAAGGACAGGTGGTTGGCCACTTTCGCCTTTGCTCGCGATATGACTTTAAGCAAGTTTGCTCACTCCGAGAGCTTTTCCACAGTTGAAGCAATATGGAAACCTTGTATGCTTCTTTCTTCAAGATGGAAAGCAATCGATTTCAAAGATAACGTTTTCATGTACGGGAAAGGGCGACGTCCTTCAATGAGAAGAAAAAACAAATTCGAGGTTCGTAGCCCTGACACTGTTAAAGAGTATGTACACAGTTATCAATCGACGTCCACAAGGGCTTATCCAGACCGTAGAGAAAAACTTCGACTCTTTATAAGAAACGGTGAAGACTTTTAACGACACTTAAACGTAGCTCGCCTCTTTTCAACGAAAATTCCGGACCATGAAATCCTCATTGACTTTTCTCCATTGGCATGCAGTCAATTGCTGCATAGACATTGTCGGCGAGCACGAAAGTCTACAAACTGCGATGCTCTTCTCATCTCAAGAAGGAGGTGCTACCCTTTGTGGGCTTTAAATCGCTTCCATCCACTTTCCCTTCGTGCTGTTTCGGTGAGAGAGATTAAGAGAGATAGCTCGTTTATCTGCGGCAACTGATCCTACAAAAAAATTGGATTTATGGAGAACGGCGTTGATGACCATGATGAGCGATGCTATGTTTTGAAACGCGGTCGACCTTCATTGATGGATCTCTGAGAGTCTGCTGCCGCGTCTGCAAGCATATATTGAAAGAAGACACTATTGAGCCAAACACGTCTAATAGTACCACTATGTAGTTTAGATGTAATCCAATTTCTGCATTCACTCGAACGATTTTCGTGAAATCATCCTTTGAATGAATGTTGTCCAGCTCGAAATAGAGAGCTCAACTAGACAACACTTACACACATAGATGTTCCCCGTGTTAACCAATGGCTGCATCCGTGAAGGCTAACGCTAATTTCAACTCTTGTAATTTGCCCTGTTTTGATTCATATATCGAACTATCTGCGTCGTCTGGTCGTTCGACCACTCTTGTGCTGAAGGGTTTCTTCCTCATCAACAGGGTCAAGCGTGCGTTGAGGAATCCTCGACATGTCACAGAGGGGGGGGGGTCGTATTGGCCCGCTGGGGAGAGATCGGGCCCGATTGATACAGTAGGATCATCGTCGGAGGACAAACATTAAGGATCGAATCGATACCAGGCCAGAGTATTTCCAATAACAATTGATTCCGTCCACACAAAATCTTCGTGATTTAGAGGTGTCCGCTTAGCAATTCTTAGTGACTTTAGTGTTTCATCACCACACAAGTCAAAGGATCCGAAATTCGCACGTTTTCTAGGGATATTTTATCTTTCAAGTAGGTCCTCAAATCCAACGAGATGTGAAGCACACGGCGCATCCCAGAGTGGGCCCAGTTGGTTGCGCGCGCTTCAGCTACGGCTATCTTGATAACGAATCTTAATTCAGGAAGAATCAAGAGGGTCTGAAAGAGTTCATGTTAAATTACAGAGAGGAGTACACTATTCAACAAGAAACGCAGCCTTCAGCGTCAAATTCACAAGCATGTAACCTTTAAAGTTGAGACCCGCTAAACAATTTTACACTTTTTGCAGAGAGAAAAGCACGAGGATTTTGAATCTGCTCCTACTTCAGTATGTAATCGCTCCTGCAAGGAGCTATAGTCGTTGGGATAGTGCTAATGTAGCGAAAAAGTACCTTTCGGCGGTACTCGGGCAAAAATCCTCAACGTGGCCATTTTTTAAATAGTGAACGTATTTAGCAGTTTTAGTTGCCTAGAAAGAGCAAATCTTCTAGTTTATGATGACGTATTAACTTTCCAGATTGCATGAGTTTGAACGGAGTTATGGCTTTGGAAAGCGTAAAAACTCGCACTCATCACGAATTTTCCTCGTTAATTTTGCAAAAATCCTCAACGTGGCCATTTTTTGAGTACTGGACGTATGAAGCTGCTTTAGCGACCGTTTGATAGAGAAAATCTTCTAGTTTTGTATGACGTATCAACTTTTTGAATTTGACGGAAATGAAGCAAGTTATTGCTCCGGAAAGTGTAAAAACTCGTGCTCGTCTCGAATTTTCCTCGTTATTTGATCTAAATTTGTTATTTCTTATAACTTCCTGTAATTTTCAGTACTGATTAGAAAAAGCTCTTCACAAAACTCCCAAATCAGCTTTCAGATTGAAAATTCGTTAACTTTGAAGAAAGTTATAATCATTTGAATATTTGTTCAAATTTCAATAGTAAATAAGCTGCTCCACGGTCAACGCCAAAGTCCAGTCAACACACAGCTGGCGAAGGCTTTTACAAGGCTTCCTTTGAGCGAAAGGGGGACGTGTAAATTGAGAACCATAATCTGTGTAGTACTAGAATTTGGTAAGTCTTGTGGAGGAAATAAACAAAGAAGAGGTGTTGTCATAGTATGCCATTTTTAGTGACTAGTTTGTCGTTTTTTGCTCCGTTTCTCGTTTGCTCGTTTGACAGGACTCGTCATAATGATCATTCTTTGACTTTTTCACTTTTATACTTTTTAAACGAGTTTTTTTGTGGACGATGGGGTAGCAGGGCTTTTTTATGAGCAGTTTTGGTGGAGAATTAAACAACTTTTTCATAGTTCGGCTTTTAAAGAGGGTTGTTTCATGGACTTCGGCCTTCGGCAGAGGGAGGGGGGTCGTATTTCCGAATTTTCCTCGACGCCTCGCTTGACCCTGCTCCCAACCGACTACCGTTATCCCTCACTACTTGCTATCCCTATTCTCCTCCAGCAACCTCTAGCATATGAGCAAACAAAGACCGTCTTATTTAAGCTTCGATTGTTTCTCTTTATTATCCTTAAAGTGTGGCTCCCTTGCCCTCATAGCGGCTTCATATCGGTAGCGCTCTAACCCAACATCTGGGATCCTTTTGTAATTTGAAGGGGATAAATAGCCTACTCTCGGCCAAAAACAGCCAGTAACGATCTTTTCTATCCCATGTCGTTCTTTGTTGCTTCCTTACTTCGAACAAGGTGAAATGGCATGAAGTCTATTGCTAAAGCTCTACCTCATTGTCAGAGAACATAGCCTAACATACAACAAGTAGTCACAATGGCAAATGTTGTCAAGTCAGCTCGAGCCGATTGAGCAGTTCTGTAGAGCCCACCTGAGGCTGCTTGTCGCAATCAAGTGCTTCCTCTGGAAATCCATTTTTGTGATATTTTGCTAGTATAATATCAGTCATTTGTAATTGTTATAGATGCGAATATCCTCCAGGACCGCCTGGTCTACCAGGTCGAGATGGCATTCCGGGTCCAGCTGGAACACCAGGAGCTCCAGGATTACCGGCTCGTCTGCCTTGTGATCCACCCATAGACTACTCAAAAGTTTGTCCCGATCCATGTCCGACTGGCGTGCAAGGGCCACCTGGAGAGACGGTTAGCTATTTTATTACAGTCACTTCGCTATTATTAAACCTAAATCAGTTTCTCTACCAGTTTCTTCTCTTTCTGGTGGTTATTGAGAGGAGCTGCACTCTACTCTAGAGTTTCTGTAGAATTTCTGTATTCTGGCATCCGAACACAGGGCGTATTTAGTGGAGTGCCAATTGACCATTTCTCATTTTTTGAATGTAATAACTATCGAATTGTCCAGAAGATAAGCGGAAGCTTTTGGATGTGACTTGCTCACATGAGCGGCAATCTCTTGAAAGAAGGGAAAAATATCACCATAAAAACACAGACGTGATCAATTCAGGGAACACCTGGCGATAAAGGCGGCGTCGGAATCCCAGGATCGCCAGGAAAACGAGGTCTCGACGGAAAACTGGGAGAAAAAGGCGAGGTAAGCGAATTTCAGACAGATCCCAGTTGCCTCACGAAAGGGCATTTTGTTCTTGTTATAGGGTTGCTGAATAGGTAAAAGATAAAACTTAATAAATAATAACTAAATAGTAGTCATCTTTTTGGGATGCGCCACGCATTCTACCCGTACTCAAAATCGTAGAGGCATTTGTAATGCGAGTTAGCCAACATTTAATTGGGGGAGGGGGCTGCTCATGTACAAGTCAGCGTATTTATCCTCTCATCGTCAGACAAGTCTTGTCTGAATTGATCAACCCAGCAGTAGGGCCTGGAAGGTGCTCTGATCCTCGGGTCGTGCCCGTGGTAAGCGATGTCACTTTCCACTACACCACTTCAGTAGTACTATGTGACCTATATTATCTTCATTAGTTATGTCCAACTTATAGTAGATGTGATCCCTTATTTTGTTCATCAGCTTCCAAGCAACATTCGATTGGTAAATAAGCTCACATACATATAATCTGTGTTTTTCTGAATTTTCGGTAGCATTATAGCCTTGTATTTAGCCTGGTCCACGAGGCATTCCCGGCCTTGATGGGGAAATTGGTGATCCTGGAGAGGATGCCATACCGCAGCCGTTTATTCCAGGACCACCGGGAGAACAAGGAGACGAAGGACCTCCTGGACCACCAGGTAATATTCACAGAAATAGAAATATGTTTGAGAAATACCATCGTGTGCATAGAAACAAATGCTGTGTTTTAGGACCAGTGGGAATGCCCGGAATCGATGGCCCAATTGGACCAGCAGGACCACGTGGAAAGAAGGGGAAGGACGGATTCCCCGGTGGAAAAGGTGATCCCGGACCGGAAGGAGCAATGGGCGAATCAGGAGAAGACGGCGAAAAAGGGGTAATAGCTCTAAACCTTTTTCATTTCTCATTCAAAATCCAATAGTCATATGAAAATTGGTGAAGCATCCACACGCAGTCAAAAAATACGCAGTCCCTCACCCTATTGAACAAAATTCACCTTGAGTCCGAGAGCTGGAGAACTTAAACTACCTATTTCCGCTCCTCCACTTTTACTCACTCTCGTTTGAAGGCGAACCTTCAGATTGAGCTCACTAGCAGGAACCAGGGACCACCGCCCGTTGCCGCAGAGAACAACGATGGGGCGTATGGCCAATTCGAAAGAGAAGGGGAAATTAATAACCACAAAATTTAAATGCCAATGGCATCTAACAATAGGTTAAGTGCGCCAAAGCTAGAGAACAACCTTTTCAACTACCAATGCACTATGTACACGACGATTGAATTGTCCCATCTCAGAGGGGAAATCTGCTGAAGAACGTCTTTCCAGAGCACAATGCAAAAAACACATTTATAGAAAACTCGTGTTTCAGACAAAATAAATGGTAGAAAAGTCCAGCAATCGTGGATTGACCCTGGAGTACTAATGGAAAGCTATGGCAGTAGAAAGGGTTTCCTTCCACGGTAGCCTAGTATATGCTTTAGTACTGATCTTGTTGATTTCAGTGGTCTTTATCGATTCTCTGTGTACCGACTTTGAAGAAACTTATGATCACTTAAGGTTAAAAATTCGCGTTTGCCTGAAAAAAGCCAGGAGATGAAAAAATGCTCCTAATTAGTCTTACAAGATCTGCAAAAAAGTAATAATGAGGAAGTTATATCGACGCTGAAAACTTGAGGACAAAAATCGGAAATCATACGAGCGGGTTTTTTCTTGAAAACGAAACATTAAGTGCACAGTTCAAAAACTTTAGAAGGACACAATTCAGAAATTGGTCAAAGTTTTATGTATCACCCTTCAATCGAGAGCCTTTTGAAGCAAAGATAAACCCTTTAAATGAGAAGTTGTATCATTACTTAGTTACTCTTCACTTATCAGGTTTATAAAAAAGGAAGATTGGTGGAGATCGAGTAAAAATTGGCAGGGTTCTGAAAGCAGAATCCTCTGCGCGTTTACTATAGTGTTTAAGTTTACGCAAAAACTTGCAAATACTTTATTTTATGAGTACAATTTTGCACTGCCCTGATTCCTCTCTGAGCGCGGACCAAAGATCCGCACCGACTTATTACTGTGTGCCACCCTCCAATGTCAGGATGGCCAACGCCCAAATTCGATGATGAGCACAAACAATATGTAAAAATCTATACAATAGCTATACAAGCGGGTGGCGCTGAAATATTTCGCAAATTCTGCGTCAAGTTTGCACAGTGACCCGGCGAGGAACCATGCGCGAGTGAACTTTTGGGTCTAACTGTGCGCCACTCTTCAAAAACGAGGAGAGCGTCGAAGTGCATGAACCAATCACCAGCAACTGACGACGGCTAATAAGTAAAATTTGCTAGTATGCGTTACATAGTGGTAGCGATTTGCGTAGTGATGTTATATATATGACCAGTCATAGAATACAATCCTAAATCAGGCGATGTTATTTTATTGGCAGAAACATTTACATTATGTGGAGGTCGTCGTCACATGTAGTGTATGGTCTGCACCCGACGCTCTTCTCTTTTTATTGAAAGGGAGTATGCAAGGGTCGTGCCATCAAAAATGTTAGGGCGCTGATCATTAAGGCGCTTGTAACCATCGCACACTTTCCCACTTCGCATTGACTTAGTAGAGACCAGATCGCCCTCTGCTTTCTTCGCCTTTTTGTATTCCTATTCGACTGTTCGTACCCCATCTGTAGTTTTTCGGATTTCAGGCGCTTAAATTTGGTGTTTTCGATGGTTTCGCTTGCTTTCTTTTTCACATTTAATGTGGTCCGCAGTTCATCCATCCCTGCTGAAGCGCTTTATACACCAGTTTGCCTGAGAATTTCTCCTAATTGAATCGATTTTTACTTATCAGCACTTTTACCACTCGGTAAGTTAAATGACTTCTAATGAGATCAATTACCTATAATTTCACCCTGCTGGTTGAGAACTTTTCGACCACATCTGAGTTTTTCTTTCGAGGTCCCTTAACACGTTGACGACCGTGTGGTATGATGTCATACCACACTCTTTCGGCCACGTGGGACCGTGTGACATGATGTCATGTCACAGTCTTTTTTAAGCTGGTTTTCAAACATTTTAGGTAACTTATTTACGTGATGTATGCGCCATTTCGTGATGTATGCGCCATACTTAGGCATTGTTACAAAAGGCGTGGTCCCTGGAAAGAAGCTTCGGTTGATGGGCTATCGAGTTTTTCTAAAAATGTTTGAATAATGATCAAATCACAGGAATCGCTAAAATGGCCAAAATCGCATAATCGGAGACCTACCACACAAGAAAGATAACAAATACACACTTCCTGAGAAAAAGGAGTTCTCGTGGGACCGTGTGACATGATGTCATGTCACACTCGCGCGGTCAAAATAATGCGCGCGGTCCCACACGCCAGACAGCGAAAAATAGCGCGGTCGTCAACGTGCTAATTTTGGTTTTAATGACTTCGCTTGCTTTCTTTTTCAACATTCAATAGGGTTCGCAGCTCAGTCCTCCCTGTGAAGGCGCCTTAACACAGCTTAGACCTGAGTACTTTCCTTATTCGATTTTTTCGAAATTTGGACGCGTAGCAGCACACTCCCCCCCGCCCCTACCACTTCGATTAATTAAGGAGTCATAGGGAGATCATTCTATAATTTCACTTTTCCCTATTTAAGAGCTACCACCCGCGTAATTCGTCCATTCACGTCCATGTAAAATAAACGCTTGTTCTCGAATGCCGCCCCCCCCCCCTTCTCCGCCATACAATCTTTGTCTTTGTTACGAGCACACTTGTGCTTGCGTATCCACACCAAATTCTTGGCTTTCGCGCTGCCAATGGCCAGTTTGGGGGGATAAGGAAGGATAAATGTTGTGTATTGGGCCTTTAAACAATTTCGTGAAAATATGTGAATAGGCAGTTGACAAGTGCCGAGCATACATTAATTTAATGGAAAACGAGAGTTGAGCACCGGGGAAATATTCTAAATATTCAGGTCTGTCCCACGTACTGTGCAACCGATGGTGGTGTGTTCTTTGTGCAACCGCCGGATTGGTTTTTCAACGACTGAACACAAAATGACCGTTAGCGCTTTCATTCTGCCTTTGCTCACATCTCATTGTACAGTATGCTTGTCTGGTCAGGTCATCAACATTCCATTAAATTACCATTTTGAGATCGCGTAGGGAGCTCAAGTCAGATACGAAATTGTCGATATTTTCTCGTATTTACATTGTGTTTTCAGCCATTTTTGCAAGTTGTGATCAGAGTTGTCATCAGAGATAATAACTGCTAATAATGTTGAGGTTTTGAAAATAAAGATAGATCTTTGATTAGAACTGTGTAACAGGCGATGGTAAAAAATGAGTATTGTTACAGAAGGGAACCAAAACCATACTTACTTGACATGTTTTTGTTTGCTAACTGCTGTTTTTGGCCACAGTTTTCGCCTTGCGAATGTTTCACAAGTATGCAGGGTTGTGAACGAAACTTTAGCCACAAGCGGGACTAGAACCCGCACTTCTCGCTTAGAAGCTACAAACGAGAAGTGCGGGTTAGTCCCGCCTGGGGCGAAAGTTTTGTTCACAAACTAACATACTTCCAAAACCACACTATCCTTTTGTCTATGGCGCTCGCCAGCGGCTCTTGTTCACACGTAACAGGGTATCGTCGATGGTATACCGCGTTCCAAGTCGCGTCAATATGCTTTGGAGGAGCGAGGTAGCTACGTGTTTCTTACTAAACGCAACGTGCGTTCTCCACGATTCAAACGCGTGCTGCCGCAAGAAGTGGCGAAGCTGCTCTGCCTCTCTCTGCTCGAAGCCGGCCCGTCTGCAGGCAGTTGGTCAGTCGTCATCCTGTCGCCTCTCCCAGTGGATTGATTCTACGAAGTCCTCAGCCTTGGTTGGAGCCGTTCGTCACTTCGCCATCGTCGTCACAGCCAGAGGAACAGTCAGCCCTCCGCTTATCCTACCGGTCGTGCCCGTAGGTCTCTTCTTAAAGCTTGCTATCTATCTCTCTTGAGAGTCATGTAGTTCATTGTAGTATTAGTCATAAAAGTCCTTAATATATAGGGTTCTGTTATGTAGCAAAATATATGCACATCTTTTTAGGCCATGAATAGTGGTGTTCATTCAGCACCAGGGTGGGCAAGGGACTTCCATGACTAGACCTTTGCGATCAATCGCCAAATCCTTCGTCTGAAATGCTCTCTGCTTGCTCGTAAAGCACGCCCAAGAACTCAATTTTATTTCAGCGTCTTCGGCAGTACCCACACCCTGCACTTTTCTCTGTAACATATGCGATATGAAAGAAAAGCCATCTTCTAATTCTCAACCCTTCAATTTTAGGCCTCCAGCCATTGACCCTGACTCGTCCCAAGTTGGCCTCCGACCTGCTTGAGTCGAGACGAAACTCCGACTTCCGAGGTTCGCCTTGGGATGTAACGGCAAAATATTTTGGCAAGTTTCCTTTCCGCGTCTCCTTCTGAATTAGTACACCTGTTTTAGCAGTACAACGTGTGCCTCTGTCTAGAATAATTATCCCTCGCAGTATAGTAATAAGCGGCTGCGCAACCCTTAACGGAAGACGACTACCTCCATCTTTTCGACACTGGTTAACATCAAATTGGTCCAATGTGATCCAAATGGGCACTTAGACGCCATCCAGCTTTTCGCGCTGTAAGTCCCCTCAGGTGTGAATTACAGAAAGGCACCAAGAGAAATTTTTCCATTGGATTATCAAGAGGATCGTATCGAAGCTAGCAATACAAACTCTTTTGCATGTTTTGCGAATTGCCTTCCTCCATGGCCGAACGATCAGTTCCGGATTTTATGGAAAAGTGAGAGAATGGCGCAATCCGCGATGCCCTGGATAACCTGTCCTTCAACTTCACATCAATGCTTTAAGTAATCAGCGCGATATAACGATTTCATCGTATTGCCACTATTCCACGAAATGTTTCCAAATTGTTGATAGGCAGGATGCATGAAGCCTTACGTCATCACTCTTCGAGCGAAGCACTCTGGGTAAGTGAATCTGTCTTTCCTTCCGCCAATTCTACCACATCATTCTAAAAACTCATAAAACAAAAAACTATATACTATCTCATATTCAAGATCACTTCCCATAATCGAACTTTATTAAAGAAGTTAGAGTTCGTTCGTCGTGGCTATCATGTTTATCCAAAGTTTATGAATTTTCAAGTTCCAAACTGGACTGATACGGTAGCTCACCCTCGTAGACGGTCCATTATGCAACCTCGCCCCTGGAGCGCGAATTTCAGATGTAACATTACAACAACCTTGGATAAAAGTACTTTCTTCCTTCTGGAAAGCTTAGCCTTCACCACCGGTCATCCTGAACCGGTCAGCTTGTCTGCCTGCTCCGACAAATGAACAGACGAACACCCACCAGCAAAAGCGTCAACTTCAGTGACTCCTCAATCGACCAACCCACTACTCCCTAACCAATTCTTCTCCTCTCTCCAAATCTAGCCACCTAATAGGTTCTTTGCGAATATTTCAGCTTATCTACTTCAGTTTTTCAATTTCAGTTTATCAACTTATGCAATTCTGATTCTGAATCAGTAATCAGTATGGGAGGAACTCACAGTATTCGCCACACCCCAACTTTTGCAACTAAACAACATTTAAAGTTTACCTTACCAAACTTATGTAACCAGAAAAGAAATCGATACCGAGGCGAATTTAGCTAACACAGTGCCTATCTCTACTCTTACGCCGCACTCTTCATACACGATACCTACTTCCTGCTAGATCCGTATCGCCACAGCCGAGAAATTCTTTTTCTCTTACAGACTGCAGTATTCTCCACCATCTAGCCTTTCGCCACTTCACGGTACCCCACGCGACTCGGCTCCTCAACCAGTCAACATCGCTCATCCTCTTCAAGAAAACAACGTCAGTGTTAACTCCCCTACCTCCAGAGAATTCGAGCCGACCACTTCCTCAAACCAACTACACCTTTGAGAACATGATCATTCAAAACTCTTCAGTAGAATCAGCGGAAATTGACGAGAACACAAGAGTGGAAATTTGCCATATTACTGGACGCCTAGATATAGCGCTAGATAAGCTTTGCCTACCATCTCACGTCAATCAGCTTCCCGTTTCTTTTCTAGAAGACGATGGGGAGCCGGGTTAGTGCATTTCTTTGAAAAATTAATGAGGTTGGAAATATAATGGTAACAGATGACAAAGTGGTTCCCCTTCTCTCAGCACGTCTGCAAGATACCGCAAAGGCTGTTTATGAAGTCTTCGCAGATGAACACAAACAGAATTTGCGCCAGCAATCTCAAATAAACTCATGGAACACTTTTCTATGTATGGAACATTTCTTGGATATGGCTAGAAAAAAGCTCATGTATATGAGCATGGTAGTAGGAGATCCCCGGTAATTTTCTTTCGAATAGAACACCTAGGGAGCCGATATACAGGGGGGGGGGGGCCAAAAAAAGACATTTTGCCTCCACTTCCAGATGGATTTAAGCACATTTTACTCAACTCAGACCGAACGGTTCCAACTTATTATTAAAGAGTGCATTCCATTCTATAAGAAAATCTTCATAGTGGCCACGTACGTGGACGGCATCAGAAGAATTAGCCCTGGAAACATGGTGCACTGGTCGATCTCAATGGGGTCTTCGAAGGATCGTGTACCATAACGACCCTTACTGGAAAGCTAGTTCCGAGGGGATTTGCACAGTGGTAGCTAATGCCTCTAGAAAACTATCCAACATTAAATCGATTCACGAAATTGCGTAAGAGCTTCAGGCTGAAGCTCTTACGGTAGACCTCCTTGAGCCTGACGACGGTGACAGATGACGTCATATTCTGAAGACGGTGAGGGCAGTGAAGGAGAGGCCTGCGTACACTAATAGAGGAACACTTAGGGAATACTCTGCTGAGGAACTCCCGTCAACGACAGCAATCTCTGCGAAGAAAAAAGAGCCGAAGTCCGACATAGGCAAAATGTCTTTTTTTTGCCCCCCCCTGTATATTTATAAGAGCATTCTTTTCATAGTTTGCATATGCAAATTACACACATAACATAGCGTCCGCAACATGACTATCTCCAACCGGATTTTGCTGTCGTGAATAATGGCTACTCACTCAGCCACGAACAGCGCCAAGATGACCGCCGTGCTGAGCTTAACAGCTTTCCATCTATAATGCAACTGCTAATTCGATGATCTATGTGCCAACCGAACTTAACCATTCTACAATCGTAGCACTCTTCGATACAGATTCTGAAGTTATTGCACATGCACGATATTTTAAATCTTGCCAGTGGGAACTAATTCGACACTGTCCTCGATTTTGAAAGCGGTTTTTCCTCCAGGGACTTGAAAAAAACACATATGAAGCACAAGCGTTTTCCTCATTTAGGAACTTAAGCCGTTTTACAGCTATGGCCCAAAGAAGGGTCCCAAGCTACATTTCAGACGTAGCGAACCTAGTAGTCAAATCATCGCGTCACAGTCAATGGTGGTGATAATGACGTTATTTAAAACATGGGATTCCTCTGGGATTATTTCGGACGGCGGTTGAATATACTAAAAAAAGTTTCTTCTGAAAATTAACAAAATGACCGCATGTCTATAGTTTCACAACCAGCTGCAATCACAAAGCAAATGATCAAGCAGAAAGACTAGTGCATGTAATCACAGATTCCTTGCATGCATCAGCAATCTAGCAAGAGTAGTCGACCTACCCTATATACACATTTCCACTGCAGATCTCGTACTTTAGTAAGATGATATTGTTCTTCCTAAGCTTCCGAATCAGCGAGAAGACCCTTTCGTAATTGAGGGCTTAGGACGGCATCCTAAAACTGATTTTGGTTGCTCCACTGACCATATCGTGTTTTAACACATTGACGACATTGAGACGCGGTAACGCGTCTCACTTTGCGCACCTCGTTGGACATTGAGACGCGTTACCGCGTCTCACCCTTATCATCCCTTTTTCTAGGGCATGCGCAGCTTTTTCCCGAATTGTTTGTCTCTCTTCTATGGATTAGAACATAACATTATTGTGAACGACATAG